GCTCCCCTCCCACCTCCTCCCCATAGTTAACCTCTTCCCTGTGTTCATCCCTCCATGCACTCTTGCCCCCGAGCTGTCTCCCTGTGCATTAACAGCCCTTCTTTCTCCATGATTGTTCTCTCCAAGGAGTATTTCTACCTTAGGTAAATGTTCAACTCATATGCCTGTCTTTGGTTTGGCTGGAAGCCACCGGTGTAGGTTCAATTCCAGACCTGAAGGGCAGCTAGGAGTCATAGTCTCAGGGGTTCCACCAGGCCCTATCAGACCAACAAACCTGGTCCCCTCCCTTTTTTTTTCCAAATGATTTTGAGTTTTTTTTCACATTATTCTCCCTCTCTATCCAGGATCTCCCACACAGCTCCCCCTCAGAGTGGTTGACAGTGGTAGCTGGGCACCACCTAATTCTTCTGGTCTCATAGTAGTATAGGCTGCAGACTGCATGATGTACCAGTGACTAGGACTATTTCTTTCCATGAACCTTTGGTTTTCTTCATTCTTCTTTGCTCTGGACAAGGAGAAACCCTTCATTGCATCCAGATGGCTATTTGCAAGCTTTTAAGATCCCAGTCACTACTTGCCAAAGTAGGAGGTGGAACAATGTTTTGTGTAGTATGTTATGCCAGTTGAGCTTGATGTCCCCTGTGGCTATGGTCCTGAGTCCAAAGGTTCAACTACTCGGTCCCTCTGGGTAGCTGGCTATGACCAAGAAGTGACTACAACTTTGTCCCTTGTCACCTCTACTATACACCTGGGAATTCAGATCATACAAATACACTTCTAGGACCATTGTCTGCCAACCCTATACATGGTCTTGGGTACACTCCCCACTTCATTAGACATAGATTAGACATATCTAATAGTTCAGCCAGTTCACCCATCTATCCACCCGTATACCCACGTTTACCTTCACTGACAACACAGTACTGTATGTGCAAAAGGCTTCATCGTTGTTGTCTGAAAACAGACTCTAATTTTTCTTGGTATTAGCTCTAAAAGAAGGTTGGAGGTTGTTAGTTGCCATGGAGTGGGCTCCGACTCATAGTGACCCTATGTACGACAGAATGGAACACTGCCCAGTCCTATGTCATCCACACAATCCTTGCTTTGTTTGCGCCCATCACCGCACTTGTACCCACTATGTCAATCCATCTCATGTAGTGTCTTCCCCTTTTTCCCTAATCCTCTATTTTATCAAGCATGATATCCTTTTCAAGGGAATGGCCACTTCTGACAACATGACCAAAGTAGGTGAGACAAAGTCTGGCCATTCTCATGTCCAAGGAGCATTGCGGCTGCACTTCCTCCAGGACAGACTGGTTCATTCTTCTGGCAGTCCATGGTATGTATTATCATTATTCTTCACCAAAACCACAATTCAAAGGCATCAAATCATCTTCAGTCTTGAATATCATTGTCCAGCTTTCATATGCATATGAGGTGATAGAAAATACCATGGCTTAGGGCAGGTGCACCTTAAGATTTCAATGTGACATCATTGCTGTTTAACACTTTAAAGAGGTCTTTTGTAGCAGATCTACCCAACGGAATATAACGTTTGATTTTTTGAAGGCTGCTTCCATAGATGTTGACTGTGGATCTAAGTAAAATGAAATCCCTGACAACCCTAATCTTTTCTCCATTTATCATGATGTTGTTTATTGTTCCCAAAAAAACAAACAAACAAAAACCAAACTCACTGGCATTGACTCAACTCCGACTCATACTGACCCCTCCTTGGGTTTCCAAGGAGGTATCTCTATGGAAGTAAATTGCCCAATCTTCCTTCTGAGGAGCGGCTGCTGGGTTGGAACCGCCAGCCCTCTGGTTAGCAGTCAAATGCCTTAGGCACTACGCCAGAGCGCCCTCATTGCTCCACTTGTGAACTTGTGAGGATTTTCATTCTCTTTATGTTGAAGTGTAAACCATACTAAAGACAGTAATCTTTCATCTTCATCAGTGAGTGCTTCAAATCACCTTTACTTTCAGCAAGCAAAGTTGTGTCGTCGCATATCCCAGGTCTTCCTCTAATCCTGATGTTCTTCTTCAACAGTACAGCTTTTCAGATTATTTGCTCAGCATACAGATTGAAAAAGTATGGTGAAAGGATATAACCCTAATACACACCCTTCTCAATTTTAAATCATCCACTATCCCCTTGTTCTGCTCAAACAATCAGCACATTAACTTTCTGGAATACCTACTTACCGCAATGTTATCCATATTTGTTATGATATACACAGTTGAAAGCCTTTACATAGTCAATGAACACACAGGTGAACATCTTTCTGGTGTTCTTTGCTTTCAGCCAAGATCCATCTGACATCAGCAACGATATTCCTCATTCCACATCCTCTTCTGAAACCAGCTTGAATTTCTGGAAGTTCACTGTCAATATACTGCTGCAACCATTTTTGAAATTTCTTCAAAATTATATTTTGATATTAATGATTGTTCAATAATTTCCACATTCTGTTGGGTCACCTTTCTTTGGAGTGGGCACAAATATAGATCTCTCCAGTCAATCGGCCAGGTAGTTGTCTCCAAATTTCTTGCACTAATTAGTTAAGAACTTCCAGCATTGTATCCTTGTGTTGAAACATCTCAATGGATATTCCATCAATTCTGGGAACCTTGTTTTTCACCAATGCTTTAGCACAGCTTGTACTTCTTCCTTTGATATTAATGATTCGTGATCATATGTTACCTCCTGAAATAGCTGAACATCAACCAATACTTTTTAATATAGTGACTCT